ACATAAAGGTCCACAACTCACAACATAAAGTCCCACAACTCACAACATAAAGGCACACAACTCACAACATAAAGGTCCACAGCTCACAGTATAAAGAAGTTTACGAGCCTAATGGAAATTCTATTTAAATATAAGATTTGGCAAATTATTTATTGAGAAGAGAATTCATAAACTTTTTGGTAATATTTTTACTTTCTCGTATATACGAAGTATAGAGAAAGTCTTGTAATCGTGCAAAAAAAAAAATCGAGATTTTTACAAATCTCGACATTTTATACCTCACTGATACGGAAAAACATAATTTTGCAATCTTGTCCGTATGTCTGTGTGTCTGTCTGTCTGTCTGTCTGTCTGTCTGTCTGTGTGTGTGTCCGTGTGTAAACACGATAACTTGAGTACCGTTACAGCTAGGTTGATGAAATTTCATATATAAGTATTTTATCGAAATCGTAGATCCGTATCAACTTTTGAGCGATTTCCGATAACCGGAAGTGGTACTTTTCCTACTTTGAATTTTTCAAAAGCCTATAACTTGAGTACTATTTCAGATAGATAAATGAAATTTCACATGTAAGTAAAAGATCTAATTCTCTACCTTCTGTTAAATATTGAGTAATTTCCGTTGACCGGAAGTAGTAATTTACGCTACTTCCGATTTCTTAAAAAACTAATGTAAATTTAAAAAGTACTAATAATATTGCGCACTATTATGCGCTTTTTTATTTGGCGTTCACTTGGTGTGCAATTAATTTGTCTACGAGATTTTATTCTATTTAACTTTAAGTATTTAAAATGGATTAAAAATCATGTCTATAGCCCGAGTTCCCATCCCCTGTTATTTTATATAAGAATATTCGAGAAAGTTTAGGGGAGATCACTCCCGGTTTATTTTAGTAAAAAGTTTCTAAAATAAATGAAACACTACGTGTAGTTACCATTAGCCACAGCACAAGGCTAACCCAGAACATTCCCATCTCGAAGTTCCCAATTCAACGAACACAATATATTTCAATATCAACATGCCACTCACATTTTAGAAAGATTTTTATGACGGTAGATTTTTTAATAGCAAGGCGTTCTGAATAAACAGACATGGTTTGCGTAATAGACTAGTTGTAAACAATCATCTAGAAGCCCAGTCATTAAACATTATCTTCGATCAAAACTCACCAAGTATGCTTTATAGACGGCTACATGACATTACCCCTCCCTGTCAATTACCACCCCCCCCCCCCTTCGGGGAATCACCCCCCCCCCCCCTCTCAAGTTACAATCCTAACTCTAACTCAAATTACCCTATGAATGCCCTGTTCCCTCTACAGTCAGACATAATACAGTCTTGATTGCATTAAGTCAACTGCCCAGCTCAATTAGACAAGAAAGAGTTAATAAGTCAACTGCCCAACTCAAGTAGATAAGAAAGAGTTAATAAGTCAACTGCCCAACTCAAGTAGATAAGAAAGAGTTAATAAGTCAACTGCCCAACTCAAGTAGATAAGAAAGAGTTAATAAGTCAACTGCCCAACTCAAGTAGACAAGAAAGAGTTAATAAGTCAACTGCCCAGCTCAAGTAAAGAAGAAAGAGTTTATAAGTCAACTGCCCAACTCAAGTAGACAGGAAAGAGTTAATAAGTCAACTGCCCAGCTCAAGTAGAAAAGAAAGAGTTAATAAGCAAATGATGACTAAAGGGATCACCTTACAAAAACGTCACTCACTAGTTTCTGACTTGTGAATGTTATTTTTTCATCATATGGGGCTGGGGGCAATAAAAGTCGTGAAATCAGATCGACTAATCGACCGCAATTCGCTGTTGGGAAACACAATGCTAACTTGTCATAGCATCAAACAGGTACTGTAGTGTTTGAATGGGGGGTGGGGTATGGGAGACTTGCCCAGGATATCAAACTTTAATGGTGTGTAATAAAATGAGAGGATGTGGAGGGTCGAATATGGCCTGGAAAGGATTGTTTTTGTTACATAATTATATTACGCATACATTGACGAAAGGGGGTGATCTTTATTACTTTCATAAAAATAAGAGCTATTCATCTATTCCCCGCCCCCTTCCACCACGAAACCCATCACATGTCAGCACGCATCTTAGAACGACCCCACCCCCTCCATTACCTCCCTATATTGTAGACGTGTACACACATATAATAGTAATATCATATAATAATTCATACATGTATACAAACATAGAGAGCGTGTTTACATTTTGTTTCGGAAAAAAAGTTGAATCTGCAATGTGTTGGAAAATCTATACAATGTGTATGCAATAAAGTGTTGCTTGTAAAACTTATACGAATGTTCATGTTAAACATACAAAGTGGATTTGACGGTCACCCCCCACCCCCTCCCACTAGTAAACACGTGTCCATTCACCTCCGTTTTGTCTTGACCGACATGATTGGATGACCCTATCGGTGAAATCTAATTTGTTTCACACTTTAATTAAAAACCTACAAATGTGTCTAACTCAGGTACCTAGACTATTTCTCTTCCTACCTCGTCTAGACTTTGAACCCCGTTCACATCCTCGGTCCCAGCTGGGTTAGAGATTTCGTTGTTTACATCGGTCTTTGGGAGCTCTTGTTGCACAGAAGGAAACAAAACTCTGTCATTAGTTTCAAATATTGGTTGGATATAAATGTACTAGCTGAATACCCGTGCTCCGCCACGATAAATCTTTTTTAAATGCACCAACTTGGGTACAGAACAGAACAAAACTAAACACAACACAAGCACAACAGAAAACAAAAACACAACAAATCCACAAAAGAAAACACAAACATAATGCAAACACAAACGAAAACACAAATGCAACACGCAAACACAAAAGAAAAAACAAACGCAAATAAAAACATAAATGAAAACACCAAGACATTTTAAACACAAACGCAAAAACGAAAAACACAAACGAAAAAACCAAAACACAACTCTCATAACATAAACACAACTAAACTGCAAACATAAACGCATAGTGCTCACAATTTAGCCCGTGGCGCCAAATCGCACACTGTAAAACGCCGGCGGATGCGCCTGATTCAGTGAATGACTATAAAAAACCCAGCTTGTCCGCAAACGGAAAGTTAGATTAATAATTAGTAAACAGTACGTTCAATGTATAAAATAAATAAAAGGCAGTATTTAAAATCCGTGTTTAACCTGCCATATTGCGCTTTATCAATTCATGCATTTTTTTCAGTACTTTAAATTAAAAAAAAAATTACAATGAGTTTCATGACTAAAATAATTTCGCACCTAATGAACGTGATGACGCGTCTATAACAGTGCGGAATAGTTGATTAAAAATTATAATTAGTAAACAGAACGTTTAGTGAATAAAATAAATAAAAGAGCCTTTTATCAATCCATGCTAATTATAATATTCCAACAATAATGTCCTCTTACAATAATGTCCTCTGCAGATTTGCATTCACATTTTTCTAATTATATTATTCCAGCAATAATTCCCGCTTGGAGATTTTGCATTCACATTTTTGTATTAGCGTGAGTTGAACTTATTTTTTAATTACCTCACTTGGCAAAATTACAAAACAGTTTAATTAATTAATTCGACCCTACTATTATTAAAATGTAGCCACTTTTTCTAGGTTTCAAAACAAAAATGATATTTGACATTGATCCGTTTAATATATTTTAGCGATTTTGCGTGTATTTAATATTTTATTTACGTTATGCGAAAGAGTAAAAACGGTAGCAACTATAAAGTAAATTTAAGTCGTTATAAAAACAACCCCTACTCTATTAATTATAATAAGACACTGCGATGCAAGTAAAAAGTACTGCATGGTGCGTGGTGTACGTTTTTGGTTCCAAAATCTATAGCAAGAGGACTGACACACTATCAGCCCGCTTACATTGGCACTTGGCACAGATGACGCGGTTACCTCCCCTGACAATCGCCGAGTTACCTGAAATAAATTTCTCATTGTACAACTTTATTGGTAGATTTGTATTTGTAGTTTTACTTTCTCGAGATTTTAACAAATATGAATAGGAAAAACACATTTTTTCATGCCATGTGTATCTCTACATGCGTATTTCTGTATATATATATATATATATATATATATATATATATATATATATATATATATATATATATATATATATATATATATATATATGTGTGTGTGTGTGTGTGTGTGTGTTTTATTACTTGAACTTGACAAAAAGTTTCAATTTAGTGGACACAATTTTATGTAATAGTATAAAATCCTATACATGGGTTTAAATAAAGTTTTCTGCAATTTTCGTTAAACGAAAGTGGTATTTTAGCAAAAACCCCAATAATTAGCTAATTTTATATCACAATAACGTAAAGCAGTATATTGTAAGAAATTTTCTTCTTTGAGAACCAAAACAAGGAACAGTTTTGTCACACGTGTACCTGCTACTTCTATAGCGCAACTCAACCGGAAGTGCAATATCTTCCCATACTCTTACATAAAAATTTTCGAGAATGTTTAAGGGTGCTCACCAGCTGTATTTTAAACCAGCGTATCCCATTCCAGCGCCCGGGGCGAACTATCTACTTTGTGCTCCCCTCCATTATGTAAAGGGTGGGGGGGGGGGCGGCGTTTTTAAGAAGTCAATATCCATTAACACATTATTTTGGTGTTACACAATCGATGTAAAAAATTCTGTAAAAATGAAGTAGTAGTCTATGTTCTTGATTTTGACCTTGTATAATTCAGTTATGCAGCTCAGAATGAGTTTTTTCCTACTCCGTTTGGTGCTCCCTTAGGGTAGGCGCCAGAACGGCCGCTCCACCCTTCTTCCCCTTTCTACGCCTCTGGTAACTTACCACACAATATTATGTAATATCAGCATTTTCCACCCCTCATCAATTTGAGGTAAAGGCCCAAACATTATGAGTATGATCAAGTAACACCAATCACACTGAAGTTCGATCATGACTGACCATCATAGCTTTATGTAACAATAAATCAAGTAACAATAACCCAGAGCGGCTTGACGTAACAAAAAAATGTTTAATCGAAGAAGTATGTTTTTGTGTTTTAAAATCAACAATTTCCGTGAAATGAAACTTTCACAAAAAATAAACTAACCAATAAAACAACTCCACTCTCTAACTCTGGCCATCCCTTCATTTTTACACACCATAGCAAAAGTAAGCTAGCAATCCTTTAAGATTTGACCAAGCACGTATAAATATAGAGAAATAGTTTGCACATTGAAAGACCGACACATGAGAAGACAAAAGTCTAGACTACAGCCTAGCACAACAACCAGCACTGGTCTAATGGACTCTTCTGTCTCATGGGGAAAGTTTGGCTGACTTCCGCTTGGACATCTAGCGCTCCCAGTCATAAGCAAAGTGATCTATGTTAATACCAGGCAGCGTAGAACATGACACCTTTGGGTTACTGAAATACAGAGTTACATTATTATATCAAACGAGAAAAATGGCTCATTGAGGAAGGATACAACGGGCGCTAGGTTGATAGTGCTGTCTATTTTCTCTAAACCAAAATCAAAACCAAAATCACTACATTAATTCAATTTAACCGGAAACAAAAAATGACATTTAAAACGGATTTTTATCCAGAATTGGTACTTTAATTTATACAAAATATAGTCATAGGCATATCCCTAAACCATGCACCTAATCTCATTCATGACAAAAGTCGCACTTAGAGTTTCTTTCAGCCAACTCTACTTGGAAGGAGAGGCTCCGCCCCCCACCCACACACCCCAAAACATATCTACCGTCCCATTCAACGAAATATAATTATATACTTTTTCCAGTGTCCGCCCCTCCCAGTAAATTCTACCCCCGCCTCCCCCCCCCCCAAAAAAAAATTCAAGTACCCCCACCACTCGCCGGGGAGGAAAAAGTCTGAAAGAAACGCTGGTCGCATTTATAGATCATACAAACTAAAAGAAGAACCTGGGCGGGGCTTCGCCCCTACCGGAAGAGATGCATGAAAAAAACTGTGCACGCTAAACACTTTTTAGATTAGAAAAGTTCCCCCCTCAGGGAAGGAAAAATTCTGAAAGAAACACTGGTGTCGCGCTTAGCCACTACCCGAAAAATTGCATGAAAGAAACTGCAAGCAAACCACTTTTTAGATTACACACATTAATTAGGCGTTAATTTTATTATAGAGTATCGATGAAGAAATTTCTTTTGAGTTGGGGAGGGGGGGGGGGACTCAAACGTTCTTACCCGAAGAATTGTATAAAAGAAAACTTCACGCAAACCACTTAGATTAGACGAAATTGCCTTTTTATTCAATGTTTACTCGAGAATCAATGACGTCATATTACTGTGTGCACTCTCCGGCTTGATACTATTTTCTACTCTATGCTAAATGTGACGTCATATTTCGTTTTCGTTTCACTATACATGTTTTTAAATTGCTTGTGTTTTCTCTAGAGCGTTCTTGTCAGATACATACATAGATACACAGACAGCGAAACTATTATTATAGAACGAGAAAAATGGCCCGTTGAGGAAGGATACAACGGGCGCTAGGTTGATAGTACTGTCTATTTTCTTTAAACTAAAACCAAAACAAAATCACCACCTCCATTTAATTTAACCAGAAACTAAAAATGACATTGAAAACGGATTTTTATCCAGTATCGGTACTTTAATTTATACAAAATATAGTCATAGGCATATCCCTAAACCATGCACCTAATCTCATTCATGACAAAAGTTGCATTTAGAGTTTCTTTCAGGCAACTCTACTTGGGAGGACGGGGCTCCGCCCCCCCCCCCCCCACCCCAAAACATGTCTACCGTCCCATTCAACGAAATATAATTATATATTTTTTCCAGTGTTCCCCCCCTCCCAGAAAATTCTACCCCCGCCCCCAAAAAATTCAAGTACCCCCACCCCTCGCCAGGGAGGAAAAAGTCTGAAAGAAACGCTGGTCGCATTTATAGATCATACAAACTAAAGGAAGAACCTGGGCGGGGCTTCGCCCCTACGGAAAGAGATGCATAAAAAACTGTACACGCTAAACACTTTTTAGATTAGAAAAAGTTCCCCCCTCCGGGGAGGAAAAAGTCTGAAAGAAACACTGGTGTCGCGCTTAGCCACTACCCGAAGAATTGCATTAAAGAAATTGCAAGAAAACCACTTTTAAGTTTAGACACATTAATTAGCCGGTAATTTTATTATAGAGTATCGATGAAGAAATTTCTTTTGAGTTGGGGAGGGGGGCGGGGGGGGGGCTTAGACGTTCATGCGCGGGGGTGGGTCTTCGCACCTACCCGAAGAATTGTATGAAAGAAACTCTTCACGCAAACCACTTAGATTAGACAAAATTGCCTTTTTATTCAATGTTTACTCGAGAATCAATGACGTCATATTATAGTGTGCTCTCTCCGGCTTGAGATTATTTTATACTCTATGCTAAATGTGACGTCATATTTCGTTTTCGTTTCACTGTGAAAGTTTTTAAATTGCTTGTGTTTTCTCTAGAGCGTTCTTGTCAGATACATACATACACAGATAGATAGATACACAGACAGCAAAACTATTATTATAGATTGACGTGTTTCAAGTACCCATCGTTACATATGACGTTATGATGGTATCAGGGATGGTATGTTGAGTAGTATAAAGCTTTTGTAAACTTACATTGGTCCGGCTATCCTAAATTTACTTGGGTCCAACTATACTAAACTTTCTAGAGTCTGGCTATCCTAAACTTACTTGGGCCCGGCTATCTTAAACTTACTTGGGTCCGGCTATCCTAAACTTACTTGGGTCCGGCTATCCTAAACTTACTTGGGTCCGGCTATCCCAAACTTACTTGGGTCCGGCTATCCTAAACTTACTTGAGTCCGGCTATCCTAAACTTACTTGGGTCCGGCTATCATAAGAGCATTGGCCTGGACCTCTGTCAGGGCCGTGGTGTCACACATGAGCTTGGCCAGCGTGTAGCCGTGGATCTCTCTCAGCTGACCTAAACAGTAAACAAGACACATTCGTTGCTTTTCGACATTGGTAAATCTTTTATTTTTTAAAACACTACTAATTACTAAAACTAAGAGTAGTCTTGAACCTCTAGAGTTTTAAGATAATTTACTGACATTATGAATTCAACAACAACTCACGTTTGGTGAAACCCAACTGCCCTCTGTAGTGGCTGAAAAAATAGCGGTCTCCATACTTGAGGGCTTTCATCTGTCGAGCAATGAGGCAGTTGAACGTCTCTCCCACTATCCCGCCTTTAAAAGGTTTTTCGTTGATTCCACCAGAGAAGAGTTCTATGTCGTCTGGGTGGCTAACAGTAGAAAAAACATCAAATTACTCATAGAACTGCTGCTGTCAAATTTCTTACCACGTTATCATAGCCATGCTTTCTTTCAGGCTACAGTGACGCCCCCCCCCCCCTAAGAAAGTCTAAAGGCCCCCCCCCCCAAAGAAAATTTCAAGTGTCCTTCCCCCACCCCACGGAGAAAAACGTCATAGCCAGTGTCTTTTCAGGCATCTCTACAGGAAGGCAATGCCCCCCCCCCCCCGTAGGAGCACTGCTGAAGGAATCAAAATGTAAAACCTACGCGTAAACCTCCTTGAACTTCAGCCCGCCCTCCCCCAGCACCGGATCTTTAAAACTCTTGACCCGTGGCAGATGGCAAAGTTCCCGGAAATCGTTGTACGATGGCAGGCCGTGGTCACGTGATCGCTGGAGGTTCAATGCCAACAAATCAAAGCCTTTCATTGGTCCTTCTTGGTTCTCAAACAGATGGTCTGTGACTTCTGTTGTCACAAACCTGAAAATACGAAATGCAGTAAGGTAGGACATTCACATGAGAAAGGTAGAACATTCACATATGTGAGGTAGGACATTCACATTACAAGCATAACCGTACCTGTCAAAAGCCAATGACCTGTCCTCTTCTGTCTCGCCGCCCACAAGGTTGGTGGTCATGAGGTCAGACCTCTCAAACAGCAGGTAGGGTTGGAAGAAAAGGTCCCTCAAGCTCTGCCGACTGTCGCCGCCGAGAAACAGTTTCTGTCAGGTAAAAACAGTAAGAGATGATCTATAACATCACAATCACATCTCTACATGGGATCTATAACATCACAATCACATCTCTACCTAGGCTCTATATCATCACATCTCTACCTGGGATCTATATCATCACAAGCCATTTGGGAAGCATCGATGACACTCATTTTTATATTTTTGTATCAAATATAAGCCGTCGAAAAGCCGTATAGAATTATTTTATCAATTCAAATATTTTCAAAAATTGCCCTCAACCTTGAAGTCACCCGTGATACATTCAAATATGACATGACAAGATGACCTGCCTTCGGAATCAAGGTGTGCCCAAATCTAAACACAGCAGTTGAGAAAGCGTTGAAAATAGATGGGTTGACATTTTTATCAAAGTAAGTCACTTTGTTCAGTGGGGTCTGAAAATAATGATACAATACTTTACAAAAAGTTAAATCAATTAAGAAATAAGCACCTTTTCGGTGTTTAGAATTTATCACTGTCCTTTAGATTGTGACGCGGTTATTAGTGATCAGACGTTCATTAGTCGAACCGTTTGTTGTCCAGCTAGTTTGAGACATCAATGGCAAAAAATAATAAGAGCTGATTGTTAGTCAACACTGTCATTCCTTTTTAACCTATTGCAACCTGTGTTTCTTTCAGACTTTTTTTCTCGGTGGGTAAAGGGGGGGGGGGGGGGGGGCATTTATTTTTCCGAGGGGGGGGGGGGGGGGGGCAGACACCGGTAAAAGTATATACACACTAGAATCAGTGGCGTGCAGACCTATGTAGATGCCCGGGGCAAACTCAAGCGGAAGATGCCTATATATAAAGCTCAATTAAAAATTAAAGTTAGCCTAATACAAATAGAAAAGCATTTTTTAAAATTCTACTTTTCAAGACGAAAACATTGAATACGGCTAAATCCCAAAGAACGAATAGCTAAATTTTTTAATGGGTGAAACTTCTGGGCGGGGAGACAGTTGGGGTACATGTCGGTTGGGGGGGTATGCCTTGCCCTACAATAGAGTCTCATCCGGTTTTGTATTACCGTGCGGGACAGTGGTAACGCCTTTATTTATAGGCTTCTTCTCTCTTGGCCTGTTTGTGAATTCCTATAGTGAAATTAATACGGGCGAGAGTGTGCCTGAACTAGAGATGTCACATTTTTAAAAATCTCTAAGCCACTCGGTCAAAAAGTCAATGCTTTAAGGAGATGTGATGCTAGGTACTCTAAAACATCGGCCCGTGTCTAACCATTCACTTCGCTATGTCAGACCCTCCCTACAATTTGGACGTGTTTTCCCAAATTCAACACCCACGTAACGCCTTCTGTCCAGTTCAGGTGGGGGGAAATCCACTAATGTTGACCATGGCCTGAACCCACCCCCACATTTCATTACATCAATTTGGGCTCAATTACTCTACAGATGGCTCTACTATTAGTTGAAATAAAACTGGGTCTATATTATGTGCCCCCAATTAAGATAATGAGTGGGTGCGTTGGGGTGGGTGAAAGTTGGTGGGGTGAGGTAAAGGATCGGATGGAAAAAAACAGAGTCTACAGATTCGAGTACAATTGGAGGTTTGTGTCTAAATTGAGGGAGGGAACCAAGTGACATCCAGCTACACCTTATTTATGTGTTTCTCGACGGTACTACCGGGTGGCCGTGAATGCCGGTAATTAAGACGTGTGAGACTTCAGGACAACTTTACAATGAAGTGAACTCAGCCTGGTGTATCAAAACAGTACGCACTTTAAAGTTTGTATTTAATCCCTACAATATTAAAAAAAACAAAAATCCATATGGTCATGAATATTATAAAGAATATCATTACAATAAAAAAACAGGCTATGTGCTTAATCACTCTACGAATGCCGTTACGTCCATCAAATGAATATGGGCATAATTATTGTATGGAAGCCCTACAAACATCATGCAATGAATAGAAACATAATAAAGATGCCCCGATAATATATGAAACGAACATGGGCATATTATTACTGTATGGATGCCCTTTAGACATTCATTAATGAATATAAGCATAATAAATATCATCCGATAATATATAAAACGAATATGATCATAATTGCTGTAATTATATAGATCTAAATACAAACGTGAATACAAGTAAATTACTTTAAAGATGCCCTGACGATATATAAAATGAATGCGGGCATAATTACTGTTTGGATGCCCTTCAAAACTATTATGATGAATATAAGCAAAATTACATTAAAGATGCCCCTGCAGTGTATATATTATAATCATGGGCTTTAATACTCTATGGATGACCATAAGTGTTTAAAATGATTATGGGCTTATATTCTCTAAAGATGCCCCTACCTACACTATACCTAAATAAGTATCAGATACTCTATTACTTGAAAGACTGCGTACATTTATTAGGGGAATATCAATGACTACTATACCACTACCATTCACCGATGCCATTTTCTCCCTGAAGTGTTATAACACGGACAGTACGATTAGTTTTGTTGATTGTAAATACACATTTCGGTGAATTCGGCATATAGATAATTCTGCCTTGGTAGACAAACCTAAGAAGACTTTTAACTTTCCTTAAAAAATAAAATAAAATAAAAAACTTTTGTTTAAATATTTTTTTTTACCCCGTTGGATGCCCCCTTGATGTGGATGCCCGGGGCCTGGGCCCCCTCCGCCCCCACCCCTCTGCACGCTACTGACTAGAATAACTGGACGATGTGACTAACTTCAGTTTAGACATAAATAAACGTGGCTCACGTAAATTCCTTCAACACACTAGAATCAGAGTTTCTTCCAATCTACCGCCCCCCCCCCCCCCCAAACGAGATGGAATTTATATAGAAAGTATATACTTTTGACAGTGTCCGCGCCCCCCCCCCCCCGGAAATTGTTGTCCGCCCCCCCCCCCCCCCCCCCCTCTCCCGAAAATTTCAAGTCAAGGGCACCCCCCCCCCCCCCCCGAGATAAAAGTCTGAAAGTCTGGAAGAAATACTGACTATAATATAGTTCAGATAAAATTAAACTTGGCTCACGTAAATTCCTTCCTTGTGGACTGTGTCATTGCCAAGTATGATAGGCAGCCACTCATTGTACATGATCTTCTCCATCACAGCTATCAGCAGGGATCTCGTCTTTTGGTAGACTTCTTCTTCAGGCAACCACGGCGCCTGGGGACATGGGGGGGGGTAATGGTTATCTCAACACAGTGGGGGTCAAGGTTACACAGTGGGTTAAAGGTTAACACAGTGGGGTATAGGTTAACATAGTGGTGAGTCAAGGCTAACACAGTGGGGTAAAGGTCAACACTGTGGGGGTAAAGGTTAACACAGTGGGGTAAAGGTCAACACAGTGGGGTAAAGGTTAACACAGTGGGGTAAAGGTCAACACAGTGGGGTAAAGGTCAACACAGTGGGGGGGGGGGGGGGGTTAAAGGTTAACACAGTGGGGTAAAGGTCAACACAGTGGGGGGGGGGGGGGGGGGGTTAAAGGTTAACACAGTGGGGGGTAAGGTTAACACAGTGGGGTTAAAGTTTAACATATGCAGCAAAAGGTACTCATTGGGGATAAATGTTAATAAAATTGGCAACACAGAGAGGTAAAGGTTAAACAGGGGTAAAGGTTAAATACAGGTGCAAAAGTTAAAGGTAAAGGTTAGACCCGGGTAGCAAATGCTAAACCCTGTTCAACCAAAGTTAAACCTTCTCTCTGAGCTCCAGGGCCCACTGGTTGTGTTTGAGCATGAAGATGGTGTGCAGGGCTGTCAGACCCGGCTGTTCGTTGACCCTCTCATCCCCCGCCAGGTAGCAGACGTCGTTCCTCCCTGGCCGCTTCAGACAGTCGTTCTTTCCGTTGCTGATTGGCTTGCCGCTGTTCAGTTGGAACAGGTAACCTGGGCAACAGTCAGCTCACACTTCAGAAAATGCTCCAAGTAAAAATTCTTTCACACTTCAAACAATTATCCCATGTAAGAATCAATGTGTGTGTCTGTGTGTGTGTGTGTGTGTTTGCGTATGTGTATGTGTGTGTGCGTGTAAAGCTTTGTAGAGATAAAATGATGTGAGATGTAATACAGTGATACAGTGGCGTAGCGAGGTCGGGTGTCACCCGGTGCGGCACTTAATGGTGTCACCCCCCAGAGCCTTAGAGACCCATCCCAGGGACAAACTTTCAAATTTTCGATTTGCACCCCCCCCCCCTCAAACTTGCGATTTGCACCCCCCTCAAGTTTTCGATTTGCACACCTCCCCCCTTAAACTTTCGATTTCCACCCCCCCTATCGAGTTTTTCTCTATATATTTTGCTATTTTTTTGCCTTGGTGTCACCCCCCTAAATGGTGTCACCCGGTGCGGTCCGCACCCCCCGCCCCCCCCCCTCGCTACGCCCCTGCAGTGATATAATAATGTGATATGGGGACCAGTGACGTAATGATGTCTGACATGACGTGTACCCATGATAAATGATGTCAACATCTTTACCCTTCCCGTCCTGATCCCTCAGCCTCTTGTTGATGGCCTCAGTGCTGCCGTAAACTGTGGAAGCGTCAATGAATGACGTCACGATGTTGATGTTTTGACGGGGCACTGCCGGACAAAAAAAAAACCGGAAGTGTTTAAAAACTCATGTAGACAATGAATGATTTCTCCTATGAATGAAAGAGATCTCACTGAAACAATGTGCGCCCTTTCCACCACACACAAAAAGCCAAGAAGAAACACTTAAAGTAACTGACAGTTCTACCATTAAGACACAAACTCAGCCCCTCGGGACCTTGCTGGCAGTACTCACGTATGACCTTGCCCTTCTTGTTGAAGTAAGGAATAGAGCGGACAAACTCCATGCACTGGCCTTGAAAGTTGGGGTCACTGTCAAAGGTTATAGGGAAACACTCTCTGGTGGGGGGGGGGGGAATCAAATAAATTCAGATTTAATCCAATGAAGATATATATATATATATATATATATATATATATATATATATATATATATATATATATATATATATATATGTGTGTGTGTGTGTGTGTGTGTGTGTGTGTGTGTGTTTGGGTTTGTGACTCTGTGTGTTTATCCATTTCATTATGTATACCTTATATATTATGTGTAGGCCATATATAAGATACATGGTGGCTATATATCAATGAAATGTAAATGTATATACAAGCAGATGTAGGTTTTCGTTGTTTTATAAATAAAGGCTAAGTACATATGTGATGAGTGTGGGTTTATGAATGCTTGAGTACGCTAGTTTAGTAAAGCAGAGACTGGAGCCCTAACTTACGGATGTACTGGACCTGTGGGTAGGGTCTTGTTGGGTCCACAGCACGTGACAATGTTGCGGGTGTCCTCTTCAAACAGGGAAGTTTACAATTAATACAGGTTGATTGTTTCATGTATCAAACATAGCAGCACTGTTCAAACGACTAAGTCTAAATATAAAAAGTTCCCTTTCAAACCTGACGGTCTATGGGGCAAGTGAAGTAGAGTTCACTTGTTTCTGTGACCTCGTCATATGAAGAGATAGTGTGGTCAGCACTATGCCCAGCCGCCTTTACTTTCCTTAACGTGAGTTAGGTACCCATCAGAACTGGGTGGACTCAGGGACGGTCTACTGACTAAACCCAGATTCGAACTCGAGACTAACGGGTTAGCAATCCAGCTCTCTACCGCTAGATCACTCCGTCCCACGTCTAAGTATAGCCATGTTGCTAATTAACCAAACCAAGGGCATAGACAAGGGGAGCGAACTGTGTTTGATAAGGCGGGCAATGTTTTATTCTATTTCAATAGGAATTCAGAGACTTGCTGTAATTAATATTTAACACATCAATATCTGGTCAGTCTGTAGCCTCTTGTCATCTGACTCTAAGTATTTGGTTCGGATCTTGTCAGCTCAGACAAACCCGAGCGAGTTCAGCTCAAACGCGTACCAATCAGCATTTCAAGTAGGTGGGATAGAGTCATATCAATACGTATTTAAAATAAGGTAGAGGATTCAACAGTAAACACAGTATTTTATTTGGGTAAAGGACAACGATTTGTCCTATAGTCAGACGTGAACAACATAAACGTTACTGTCATCTGACTTACTAATGTCTGACTGTTGACTGACCGAACACTGTCCAACTGACCTAAGACTGCCCAACTGACCTAAGACTGTCTAACTGACCTAAGACCTTTTAACTGACCTACGACGAGGGGTGTGGAGACCATGTCGTGGTCCATAAGCTGACCCCACTGCATCAACATGATGGTGAACTGCGACACCAGGTTCTGGTCAGTGTGTACCACTCTGCTGACCACTCGAGGACTGGGCAGTAGTTTCCCCGTCACACTGTGGGTCACTGGTTTCTCCAAGCCTGTGGGGGGGGGGGGGGTTACACAATGAAATCACCTGGACTTAAAAATTCGATACACCAAATAAAAGCGTACGCGAATATAATTTTGTACATACACATGGTAGTTTGTACATACAAAGAATAGTTTGTACATACATACACGTGGTAGTTTGTACACACACATGGTAGTTTGTACACATAAGCGTGAAATGTACGGGCACACGTTATAATTGTAGCTGGTGTATGCAAATGATTTCTTTTTAATCCTACACGTCTTCACGATTTCGGCCAAAACCGCACCTCAACCCGCACATCAAGCACTCACTTAAGATAACACCTCACCCCCACCTATACCTCCCACAACCATCCCCACCACCCATCACCTCCATCGTCATATAAAAATTGTTTCGTAAAATGTCGCTATCAACCTGTACAAAGAAGGAAAGTTGTGATTCCCACCACATTCTAGTTTGAGACCTTAAATTATTTGTTTAGATAGAAAACTGAACACAATCTGTTTACCGTCTTCATAGCGGGCAGGCAGGAGTCGTATAAAAGACGTGAAGGCGGCGCCGTAGTTTTTTGGGTGAGCACAGGTCCCATCTATGGTCCGGTAGACCCCGCCTACTGGGCAGCTCTGGAATAATTCACGCTAGAAATCTCAATGTGGGCACGTTAGAAATCTCAATGTGGTTACGGATTAAATATAAATTGTCTTAAAATAATTAAAAAAAAAACAATTATATTAAAATATTATTAAATTATCTAATATATAAAGCTCAATTCTGTATGTTTGTAATTATGTTTGTCGTGGAATATAAGAAAAAACGATACTTCCGTGGATTCAAGTCTTAGATTTCAAAAGTGCTCATGGTCTAAATTTATTAGTTAAAAATTAATATTGAAAGTGTTTGAAAACAATTTTCATTTTGCGTACTTAAAATAATAATTTTCAATATGAACATTACATAAAAATAAAAATAAAAATGTATCAACGTTTATAAAATGTCTAATTGTGTCTGAAAAGTATTTGCGCCTATTACGTCCCTTAATTAGAAGAACAAAGTTACTTCCCTTTAAAAAAACAACATCGGGGAGAAAAGAATTTACTTTTTATTACTTTGTTTTGGTGTTGGGAAAAAATATTACACACTTGGCGGGGATTGATTAAGTGCAATGTTGTTGATATTTTTATACTGCCTTTTATTTATTCCATACACCAAACGTGCTGTTTTCTTCTTATTATTTTTAATCAAAGACAGGTGAAGTAACAAAAGACATCTTTATTCGGGAACGGGAATTGCCGCAGGTTATTATTTGTATTTTTTTTTTGCACATTCGTTTTGTCTGTCCTTTTTTGCGTACGTAGGTGAATTCATTTTTGTCGGTCGCACTAGAAAGCTCTTATATACACACCTGCACCAAACTACAAGAAGATATATATGGTGTTGGAAAAAATAATTACATAATTAGCGGGGATTGATCAAGTGCAATGTTGTTGGTATTTTTAATACTGCCTTTTATTTATTCCATGCACTGAACGTACTGTATTCTTATTATTATTTTTAATCAAAGACAGGCGAAGTAACAAAAGACATCTTTATTCGGGAACGGGAATTCCCGCAGGTTATTTTTTGTGTCTTTTTTTTTGGGGAATTTGTTTTTATCTGTCTTTTTTTTTTGCGCACGAAGGGGAATTTTTTTTTTACCTCACCATAGGGCGTACCTTTTTTAAGCAGACGTTTTAACAGTACATTTAGCAGTGTAAAGTTTTACTACGTTCTCGATTGTAAAGGCAAGATCGAAGAAAGAAATGTCCTCTATGTTTACCTTTATCTATGGTCTTTAACTGAGCCGAATCCGGGCGTCCTTCGGTGCCCCGACAGAGTGTTTTTTGGCGTCCCGGGCCTTCCCGGGTTCGCTATGGGGCCTATGTTCGTTTAAGTTAGCGCATAAGACTAAGAATAAGTAGCCCCGGGCTAGAATATGAGCACTTTCCGTTCGTTTGCATTTGTGTTTTCTTTGTGTTTGAGTTTGGGTTTGCGTTTGTGGTTGGGTTTGTGTTTGCATTTGGATTAAGGTTTGTTTTCGTTTGCTTTTTTGTTTGCGTTTGTGTTTTATTTGTGGTTGTGTTAGTGTTTTCGTTTGTTTGTGTGTTTCGTTTGTATTTGTATTTGTGTTTGTGTTATGTTTGCGTTGTTTTTTTGTGTTTTGGTTTTGCTTGGTTGTGGTTGGGTTTGTGTTTGCGTTTGGATTTGTGTTTGATTTCGTTTGGTTTTTTTTTGTTTGCGTTAGTGTTTGTGTTTTCTTTGTGTTTGTGGTTGGGTTTGTCTTTGCATTTGATTTTGTGTTTTCATTTGTGTTTGTATTTGTGTTTGTGTTATGTTTGCGCTTTTTTGTGTTTTGGTTGGTTGTGGTTAGTGTGGGCAATGCCGGGTATATGCTGATTACTAAACACACAAGTCATGGTCGTTTGCAGATAGTTTTTTAGAGATGCCAGTGCAGGGCCTGGCCGGGACGGCTAGTACATTATAAAAATTCATGAGATAAGAATAAAAAACTAGAACAAATAAATTAGTCATCAAATAGTGACTAGAGATTTCAGGACAAAGTGAAGGTACAAACAAAAGGTAAGTAACTCAAGGTGATTTATACTCACGTTATTGTAGTTCAAGGTCAGGTTGATGCCCAGGCTACTGTTGGGGTCTGGAGCTCGTCTGTTCAAGGTCTCGGCGTGGACACACATCCGGTACATGCCATCTGTGGAGGTAGGACCCGAAAGTGTATGACTCAAGTGTGTAAGACTCAAGTGTAAGAACGTAGGACCCGACAGTGAGCATGTAGGACCCAAGTTTTTAGGACACCAGGGTGAGCATGTAGGACCCAAGTGAGTAGGAGCTAAGTGTGTAGGACCCAGGTGTGTAAGACCCAAGTGTGTAGGACCCAAGTGTGTAGGACCCAAGTGTGTTGGACCCAGGTGTGTAAGACCCAAGTGTGAGCATGTAGGACCCAAGTGTGAGCATGTAGGACCAAAGTATGTAGGACCCATGTGTGATGATGTAGGACCCAAGTGTGAGCATGTAGGACCCAAGTGTGAGCATGTAGGACCCAAGTGTGAGCATGTAGGACTCAAGTGTGAGCATGTAGGACCCAAATATGAGCATATAGGACCCAAGTGTCAGCATGTAGGAGCCAAGTGTGAGCATGTAGGACCCAAGTGTGAGCATGTAGGACCCAAGTATGTAGGACCCAAGTATGTAGGATCCAAGTGTGAGCATGTAGGACCCAAGTGTGAGCATGTAGGACCCAAGTGTGTAGAACCCAAATGTGAGCATGTAGGACCCAAGTGTGAGCATGTAGGACCCAAGTGTGAGCATGTAGGACCCAAGTGTGTAGGACCAAAGTGTGAGCATGTAGGACCAAAGTATGAGCATGTAGGACCCAAGTGTGTAGGACCCAAGTGTGAGCATGTAGGACCCAAGTGTGAGCATGTAGGACCCAAGTATGAGCATGTAGGACCCAAGTGTGTAGGACCCAAGTGTGTAGGACCCAAGTGTGAGCATGTAGGACCCAAGTGTGAGCATGTAGGACCCAAGTGTGAGCATGTAGGACCCAAGTGTGAGCATGTAGGACCCAAGTATGAGCATGTAGGACCCAAGTGTGTAAGACCCAAGTGTGAGCATGTAGGACCCAAGTGTGTAGGACCCAAGTATGAGCATGTAGGACCCAAGTGTGTAGGACCCAAGTGTGTAGGACCCAAGTGTGAGCATGTAGGACCCAAGTGTGAGCATGTAGGACCCAAGTGTGAGCATGTAGGACCCAAGTGTGAGCATGTAGGACCCAAGTATGAGCATGTAGGACCCAAGTGTGTAAGACCCAAGTGTGAGCATGTAGGACCCAAGTGTGTAGGACCCAAGTATGAGCATGTAGGACCCAAGCATATAGGACCCAAGTGTGAGCATGTAGGACCCAAGTGTGTAGGACCTAAGTGTGAGCATGTAGGACCCAAGCATGTAGGACCCAAGTGTGAGCAAGTAGGACCCAAGTGTGTAGGATCCAAGTGTGTAGGACCCATGTGTGTAGTAGCCAAGTGAGAGCATGCAGGACCCAGGTGTGTAGCCAAGTGTGAGCATGTAGGACTCAAGTGTGAGCATGTAGGACTCAAGTGTGTAGGACCAAAGTGTGAGCATGCTGGCTATGATTAGTTTGTGCACTCACTTGAGCTGCGGGTCTGGAACTCAGCTTTCGGTACAGAGAATGCTTGGCTAATCTGGAAATAAAATCACATAAAGCTAGCTGATTGGTAGAAACTCTAAAGGCTGCGTGACGTCAGCCAGGTACACAAGTTAATGTATATAACTTACAGCATAAATCTCCTCAACTCACAACACGAGGCCCACAACTCACAACATAAAGGCCCACAATTCACAACATAAAGCTCCTCTACTCACAATATAAAGGCCCACAATTCACAACATAAAGGCCCACAACTCACAACATAAAGGCCCACAACTCACACCATAAAGGACCACAACTCACAGCATAAAGGCCCACAACTCACACCATAAAGGTCCACAACTCACAACATAAAGGCTCACAACTCACTACATAAAGGCTCACAGTATAAAGATGTTTACGAGCCTATTCGAAATGCTATTTAAATATAAGATTTGGCAAATTAAATAATTTATTGAGAATTAATAAAAAAAATTGTAATATTTTTTTAGTAAAACGTTTCTAAAATAAATGAAACACAACGTGTAGTTACCACTAGCCACAACACAAGGCTGACGCAGAACACCCCCATCTCCAAGTTCCCAATTCAACGAATACAATATATTTCAATATCAACATGCCACTCACATTTTAGAAAGATTTTAAAGACGGTAGATTTTTTAATAGCAAGGTGTGCTGAATAAACAGACATGGTTTGCGTAATAGATTAGTTGTAAACAAGTGTCTAGACTCCCACTCATTAAACATTATCTTCGATCCAAAACCAACCAAGTACCCTCTATAGACAAACATAATACAGTCTTGGTTGCATTACGTTAACTGTTAAGCTCATGTAAAGAAGAAAGAGTTAATAAGTCAACTGGCCAACTCTAGTAGACAAGAAAGAGTTAATAAGCAAATGATGACTAAAGGTATCACCTTACAAAAACGTCACTCACGACTTGCTGACATGTGAATGTTATTTTTTCGTCACATGGGGCTGGGGCTATTAGAGTCGTGAAATCTGATCGATTTATCGATCACAATTCGCTGTTGGGAAATATAATGCACTGGTGCTAACTAGTCATCGAGTTCTTCACCATAGCATCAAACATGTACAGTAGCGTGTGAATGGGGGGGAGGGGAGGCTTCACCAGAATGTCAAACTTTAAGGTGTGGAATAAAACGAGGGGATGTGGAGGGTCAAATGTGGCCTGGGAAGGATTGTTACAAGTTTTTGTTACATAATTATATTACGTATACATTGACGAAAGGGGGTGATCATTATGACTCATAAAAATATGAGCTTTTCATCTATTCACTCCACCCCCCTCCCACCTACCCCACCACCCATCACATGTCAGCACGCGTCTTAGAACGACCCCTCCCCCCATTCACCCCCCCCCCCCCAATTTGTAGACGTGTACACAAAAATAAAATTAATATGATATAATAATTCATACATGTATACAAACACAGAGAGCGAGTTTCTATTTTGTTTCGGGAAAAAAAAAAGTTGAATCTGCAATGTGTTGGAAAATCTATACAATATCCATGCAATAAGAAGTGTTGCTTGTAAAACTTATAAGAATGTTCATGTGGTTAAACATACAACGAGAACTTGACGTCCCCAGCCCCCCCCCCCTCTACCAGTTCTCACGTGTCCATTCCCCTCCCTTATGCCTTGGACCTCATAACAGGTGAAATCTAATTTGTTTCACACTTGAATTAAAAACCTACAAAAGTGTCTGACTCTGGTACATGGACTATTTCTCTTCCTACCTCGTCCAGACTTTGAACCCCGTTCACATCCTCGGTCCCAGCTGGGTTGGAGCTCTCGTTGTTTACATCCGTCTTTGGGAGCTCTTGTGGCACGAAAGGAAACAAAACTCTGTCATTAGTTTCAAACATTGGCTGAATATAAATGTATGGGGTTGTTGAACTAAGATCTCGACTAGGGAGGGAGGGGCGACAACACCAAAGACTGTAGCCGTAATTACACAATGATCTGATTGCAGAATTTAATTAGCGTAGAACCCTGACACATGTTCTGTCAGTTAGTGACAGGTGTAGTGTCAGTCAGTGACAGGTGTAGTGTCAGTCAATGACAAGTGTAGTGTCAGTGGCAGGTGTAGTGTCAGTCAGTGACAGGTGTAGTGTCAGTCAGTGGTAGGTGTAGTGTTAGTGACAGGTGTAGTGTCAGTCAGTGACAGTCACTTCCCCAGCTTTACTTACCTGTGTAAACACTTGGCACATATGACGTGTCTACTTCCCCTGACAGACTTCGAGTTACCTGAAATAGGTTTCTCATTTTACAACTTCATTGAAAGATAGGTAAGGCTGCTGTCACATGTATGTCCAGGTAAGGCTGTTGTCACCTGTATGTCCAGGCTGTAGTCACCTGTATGTCCAGGTAAGACTCACCTGTATGTCCAGGTAAGGCTGTAGTCACCTGTATGTCCAGGTAAGGCTGTTGTCACCTGTATGTCCAGGTAAGGCTGTTGTCACCTGTATGTCCAGGCTGTAGTCACCTGTATGTCCAGGTAAGGCTGTAGTCACCTGTATGTCCAGGCTGTAGTCACCTGTATGTCCAGGTAAGACTCACCTGTATGTCCAGGTAAGGCTGTAGTCACCTGTATGTCCAGGTAAGGCTGATGTCACCTGTATGTCCAGGTAAGACTGCTGTCACCTGTATGTCCAGGTAAGACTGCTGTCACCTGTATGTCCAGGTAAGGCTGTAGTCACCTGTATGTCCTTGCTGTAGTCACCTGTATGTCCAGGTAAGGCTGTAGTCACCTGTATGTCCAGGTAAGACTGCTGTCATCTGTATGTCCAAGTAAGACTGCTGTCACCTGTATGTCCAGGTAAGGCTGTAGTCACCTGTATGTCCAGGCTGTAGTCACCTGTATGTCCAGGTAAGACTGTAGTCACCTGTATGTCCAGGTAAGACTGCTGTCACCTGTATGTCCAGGTAAGGCTGTAGTCACCTGTATGTCCAGGTAAGGCTGTAGTCACCTGTATGTCCAGGTAAGGCTGTTGTCACCTCTATGTCCAGTTAAGGCTATAGTCACCTGTATGTCCAGGTAAGGCTGTAGTCACCTGTATGTCCAGGTAAGGCTGTTGTCACCTGTATGTCCAGGTAAGGCTGTTGTCACCTGTATGTCCAGGTAAGGCTGATGTCACCTGTATGTCCAGGTAAGGCTGTAGTCACCTGTATGTCCAGGTAAGGCTGTTGTCACCTCTATGTCCAGTTAAGGCTATAGTCACCTGTATGTCCAGGTAAGGCTGTAGTCACCTGTATGTCCAGGTAAGGCTGTAGTCACCTGTATGTCCAGGTAAGGCTGTTGTCACCTGTATGTCCAGGTAAGGCTGTTGTCACCTGTATGTCCAGGTAAGGCTGATGTCACCTGTATGTCCAGGTAAGGCTGTAGTCACCTGTATGTCCAGGTAAGACTGTTGTCACCTGTATGTCCAGGCTGTAGTCACCTGTATGTCCAGGTAAGACTGTAGTCACCTGTATGTCCAGGTAAGGCTGATGTCACCTGTATGTCCAGGTAAGGCTGTTGTCACCTGTATGTCCAGGCTGTAGTCACCTGTATGTCCAGGTAAGGCTGATGTCACCTGTATGTCCAGGTAAGGCTGATGTCTCCTGTATGTCCAGGTAAGGCTGTAGTCACCTGTATGTCCAGGCTGTAGTCACCTGTATGTCCAGGTAAGACTGCTGTCACCTGTATGTCCAGGTAAGGCTGATGTCACCTGTATGTCCAGGTAAGGCTGTGGTCACCTGTATGTCCAGGCTGTAGTCACCTGTATGTCCAGGTAAGGCTGTAGTCACCTGTATGTCCAGGCTGTAGTCACCTGTATGTCCAGGCTGTAGTCACCTGTATGTCCAGGTAAGGCTGTAGTCACCTGTATGTCCAGGTAAGGCTGTTGTCACCTGTATGTCCAGGTAAGGCTGTTGTCACCTGTATGTCCAGGTAAGGCTGATGTCACCTGTATGTCCAGGTAAGGCTGTAGTCACCTGTATGTCCAGGTAAGACTGTTGTCACCTGTATGTCCAGGCTGTAGTCACCTGTATGTCCAGGTAAGACTGTAGTCACCTGTATGTCCAGGTAAGGCTGATGTCACCTGTATGTCCAGGTAAGGCTGATGTCACCTGTATGTCCAGGTAAGGCTGTAGTCACCTGTATGTCCAGGCTGTAGTCACCTGTATGTCCAGGTAAGACTGCTGTCACTTGTAAGTCCAGGTAAGGCTGATGTCACCTGTATGTCCAGGTAAGGCTGTAGTCACCTGTATGTCCAGGTAAGGCTGTAGTCACCTGTATGTCCAGGCTGTAGTCACCTGTATGTCCAGGTAAGACTGCTGTCACCTGTAAGTCCAGGTAAGGCTGATGTCACCTGTATGTCCAGGTAAGGCTGTAGTCACCTGTATGTCCAGGCTGTAGTCACCTGTATGTCCAGGTAAGGCTGTAGTCACCTGTATGTCCAGGCTGTAGTCACCTGTATCTCCAGGCTGTAGTCACCTGTATGTCCAGGTAAGGCTGTTGTCACCTCTATGTCCAGTTAAGGCTATAGTCACCTGTATGTTCAGGTAAGGCTGATGTCACCTGTATGTCCAGGTAAGGCTATAGTCACCTGTATGTCCAGGTAAGACTGTAGTCACCTGTATGTCCAGGTAAGGCTGATGTCACCTGTATGTCCAGGTAAGGCTGTAGTCACCTGTATGTTCAGGTAAGGCTGATGTCACCTGTATGTCCAGGTAAGGCTATAGTCACCTGTATGTCCAGGTAAGACTGTAGTCACCTGTATGTCCAGGTAAGGCTGATGTCACCTGTATGTCCAGGTAAGGCTGTAGTCACCTGTATGTCCAGGTAAGGCTGTTGTCACCTCTATGTCCAGTTAAGGCTATAGTCACCTGTATGTTCAGGTAAGGCTGATGTCACCTGTATGTCCAGGTAAGGCTATAGTCACCTGTATGTCCAGGTAAGACTGTAGTCACCTGTATGTCCAGGTAAGGCTGATGTCACCTGTATGTCCAGGTAAGGCTGTAGTCACCTGTATGTCCAGGTAAGGCTGATGTCACCTGTATGTCCAGGTAAGACTGTAGTCACCTGTATGTCCAGGCTGTAGTCACCTGTATGTCCAGGTAAGGCTGTTGTCACCTCTATGTCCAGTTAAGGCTATAGTCACCTGTATGTCCAGGTAAGGCTGATGTCACCTGTATGTCCAGGTAAGGCTATAGTCACCTGTATGTCCAGGTAAGACTGTAGTCACCTGTATGTCCAGGTAAGGCTGATGTCACCTGTATGTCCAGGTAAGGCTGTAGTCACCTGTATGTTCAGGTAAGGCTGATGTCACCTGTATGTCCAGGTAAGACTGTAGTCACCTGTATGTCCAGGCTGTAGTCACCTGTATGTCCAGGTAAGGCTGATGTCACCTGTATGTCCAGGTAAGGCTGATGTTACCTGTATGTCCAGGTAAGGCTGTAGTCATTTGTATGTTCAGGTAAGGCTGATGTCACCTGTATGTTCAGGTAAGACTGTAGTCACCTGTATGTCCAGGTAAGACTGCTGTCACCTGTATGTCCAGGTAAGGCTGTAGTCACCTGTATGTCCAGGCTGTAGTCACCTGTATGTCCAGGTAAGGCTGATGTCACCTGTATGTCCAGGTAAGGCTATAGTCACCTGTATGTCCAGGTAAGACTGTAGTCACCTGTATGTCCAGGTAAAGCTATAGTCACCTGTATGTCCAGGTAAGGCTGATGTCACCTGTATGTCCAGGTAAGGCTATAGTCACCTGTATGTCCAGGTAAGACTGTAGTCACCTGTATGTCCAGGTTAGGCTGTTGTCACCTGTATGTCCAGGCTGTAGTCACCTGTATGTCCAGGTAAGGCTGTTGTCACCTGTATGTCCAGGTAAGGCTGTATGTATAACTGTACAAAACAAAAACGACTTGACTCACGAGTACAAATACGAAAGCTCTGAGAAGATTTTGTTTGAATGGAGACATGTTTATCATCTATCTGTTCATTCACAATTTCAATTGAAATGTTGTGTCTTTTTATACCTTTTGTAGCTCCTTGTACATCCGCTTAAGCTTCAAAACTTCTGAGAAAGAACAGATAGCAATCAGTATAACAATAGCAGATTCATGTTAATTAGCCAGTGTTTAGCCTTGGGCCTTACAAAAGTGCACCAAGCTGAATCCTATTTCCCTTTAGCAATGTCAATAACTTCACTCAATATTTTTTGTGGCAATTCCGTTGTGTTACACTGCACTAATACATGACGTCCTAGTGGTATATTGCACTAATACAGGACGTCATAGTGTTATATTGCACTAATACAGGACGTCCTAGTGTTATATTGTACTAATACAGGACGTCCTAGTGTTATATTGCACTAATACATGACGTACTAGTGTTATATTGCACTAATACAGGACGTCCTAGTGTTATATTGCACTAATACAGGAGGTGCAAGTATTATATTGCACTAATACAGGACGTCCTACTGTTATATTGCACTAATACAGGTCGTCCTAGTGTTATATTGCACTAATACAGGAGGTGCAAGTATTATATTGCACTAATACAGGACGTCCTACTGTTATATTGCACTAATACAGGTCGTCCTAGTGTTATATTGCACTAATACAGGACGTCCTAGTGTTATATTGCACTAATACAGGACGTCCTAGTGTTATATTGCACTAATACAGGACGTCCTAGTGTTATATTGCACTAATACAGGACGTCCTACTGTTATATTGCACTAATACAGGACGTCCTAGTGTTATATTGCACTAATACAGGACGTCCTAGTGTTATATTGCACTAATACAGGGCGTCCTAGTGTTATATTGCACTAATACAGGACGTCCTACTGTTATATTGCACTAATACAGGACGTCCTAGTGTTATATTGCACTAATACAGGACGTCCTAGTGTTATATTGCATAGTTTGAAGACTGTAGTCAAAGAGCTCGATCTAGACCTTCATTTTTAGAACTTCTAGTATTTTAAGAGTTCACCGTCCGAATGCTATAGAGATGGATTCGTGTTTATTGAAGTCAGTTGCGTCGCTAGGTCGAGTGCAGCACTTCTTGTTGTCACCCCCCCCCCCCAGGAAAGAAAGTATATATATATATAAATATATATATATATATATATATATATATATATATATATATATATATATATATATATATATATATATATATATATATATGTGTGTGTGTGTGTGTGTGTGTGTGTGTTTGTGTCGGTCTACATAGGCCTATAATTTAAATATAGGCCGCATACACGTACATGTATGTGTATAAGCTTCTTTGTCTTGGTGTTACCTTCTAAACAATGTCACCATGGATGGTTGGTTAACGGGATAAAAACAACAGGATTTGATCAAACTTTCTATTAAGGTTATTAAATCCCTCCTTCAATCCACCCCCCCCCCCCCCACACACACACACAACTCCTACGCCGAGCAATGTTTCAGACAAAGAAAAATAAATTTTTATTTTAACATCAGAGGTCAATAAAATACGAATAAAATACGAGAGTTTAAAACCGTGGGTGGTTGGGTTTTACGTGGGTGGGGCATTCATGTAAAGGTGCAGATGTTTCCAGGAAGTGACGTTGGTAACAACATCATCCCGCTAGGCAACAGGACCGACAACAACACGTACATATCCTTGTCGTAATCTTTTAGGTAATCAAGGTGCAGGTGATATTCAGTGTAGTCTCAGGTTATGTCAATCGTAGGTCATGTCAATCGTAGGTCATGTCAGTCGTCGGTTATGTCAATCTTAGGTCATGTCAATCGTAGGTCATGTCAGTCGTAGGTCATGTCAATCTTAGGTCATGTTAATTGTAGGTCATGTTAGTCGTAGGTTATGTCAATCGTAGGTTATGTCAATCGTAGGTCATGTCAATGATAGGTAAGCCCAATCACAGGCCTTGTCAACTTTAGATAATGTTAATCAATAGGTCATGTCAATTAGAGGTCAACGTTAGGTCATGCCAATCATAGGTTTTGCATGCAATAGGTCATATTTATCGTATCTTGTTTGCCATTGGTCATACATTACGAGTGTCTGCTATGTCATGTCATGTGAGTCATGGGTCATGTATTATAGGATTTGTGAGTTCGTAGTCCATAAAGATTATAGTTCAAGTCTTGCAAAGTTCTAGAACAATGGCGAACATCGTATATACAACACACTTTTGTGGTGCAGTTACTATTTACAGCACATCCTACATTAGGACATCCTAATTTAGTACATCAAGGGAGATAACGATACAACTTTACTATGGGGACAATGAACAATGATTTTTTATGATTTTTTACTAACCGTGGCAATACATAACTTGAATTTTGTGTAATGATGTTCTGTGTGACTTGTTTAAAAATATCAATGTGTGTTTCTAATCAGGTATGGCGCACGTAGATATTCACGTGTCTGTCTGTCTGTCTGTGTGTATGTCTCATTGTATCTGTCTTTCTGTCTGTCTGATTGACAGTCTGATTGTATATTTTACTTTCTGCCCGTTGAACAAAACAAAGTAAACATTTCTAAATTGAAAAACCTGATTTCCTGTTCAAAACTCACAACAAACCAATACATAATCCCCCCCCCCCCCCCCCCAGATTTAATCTTCGTAAATAAGTTAACTCAAAGAGAGGTAATTCAGCTATGGTAAGAATGCTCAACATTTATCCTGATTACATTTCTTTGAATTATGAAACATTTAAGACAGGGTACGAAATGGAATTTATATAGAAAATAGATACTTTTGCCAGTGTCCGCCCCTCCCCCACCCCCTCTGGCAAAATATCAAGTCTCCCCCCCCCCAACCTCCGAAGAAAAAAGTCTGGAAAAAACACTGCTTTAGAGTGGCACCAAATATACAAGACGTTTCGCGAAGGTTTTGGTTAAGGCACATATTAAGTAAAATAAGACAATATAAATTATATTTGTTATTAGAAGCTCTTTGTTAATCCCCATTTTACTTAATAGTCTCCCCTACAATACAAACTTCGCTAGTCTCCCCTACAATACAAACTTTGCTAGTCTCCCCTACAAACATTGCTAGTCTCCCCTACACTACAAACTTTGCTAGTCTCCCCTACACTACAAACTTCGCTAGTCTCCCCTACAAACTTTGCTAGTCTTATCCTACTACATAGATTTAGTAGTTCTTTAATGGAGGTGTACATTATTGTTTGTAAGTGAATAACTTAATGGGTAAAAGTACTACAGAGAGTATTGAGTAAGACAGTACATTTGTTAGATTATAACTTAATCCTGGATGAATGTGTGTTTCATGCGGTGGTGTCCCTGCCCTACCATAAACTCCTGCATATTTAATGAGCTAATGAATTGTCCTGATTGGATGGCCACATGCCTCACACTCCAGAACAGGGGGGGGGGGGGTCCAATCAATCATTTGTTCTTGTCACGTGACCAGCCGGTGTGATTAAATATTTAAAACCTGAAGGTCACACAAACACTCTGTGGGAGTCATACACATCATCTATGGGAGTCATACACAAGTAGTATATTAGGTCCCTTTTGGGTATTATTTTTGGCGCAGGTGGGGATGGGGAGGAGCAATGACATATAGCAAAATACTCGGGTGGTGGTGGTGGTGGATGTACAATGACATATAGTAAAATACTCCCAGCCTGGCGCATCGGGATGGGGAGGGTGGTGGTGGTGGCGGGACAACGACATATAGTAAAATACTACGCCAACTGGGGTTGGCGCAGGTGGTGGGGAAGTAGGTCACCTTTTGGTGACCTTGTGACGTAATCTCCGGTGACCTTGTGACGTAATCAGTGACCTTGTGACGTAATCAGTGACCTAGTTACGTAATTTTAATGCGTTTTTAATGAGTTTTAATGAGTTTTTTAAAATTTTAATTAGTTTTTGACCTAGTTACGTAATTTTAATGTGTTTTTTAATTAGTTTTAATGAGTTTTAAAAATTTTAATTAATTTTTATTAACGAGTTACGTAATTTGATTATTTGTTTGAGTTTTTAAATTTTTAATTAATTTTTTATTATCGAGTTACGTAATTTAATTACTTTGATTGTATTTTTATTTTGTTTAATTTGTTTGTTTACTTGTTGTTTAATTTAATTACTTTGTTTATATTGTGTAATTTTTATTAACGAGTTACGTAATTTGATTATTTGTTTACTTTTTAATTATTTTTATTGACGAGTTACGTAATTTGATTATTTGTTTACTTTTTAATTATTTTTATTTTGTTTATTTTTAATTTAATTTTATTTTATAATTAGTTAAATTATTATTAACTAGTTACGTAATTTGATTTTAAATACTTTTGTTTATTTATTTATTTGATATATTTCTTTTCTTTGTTGTTTAATGTTGTTTATTTATTTGAATGTATGTATGTTTTAAATAAAAGACTAACACTAGCATGTACTAGAACAGTCTTTGTATAGGGACCATTCTCCAACACAACGAACGTTACAAAAATAGAACATCCATTAAAGATAACGATCAGCCACAGCTGTTACGTATCGACCCGCCCGCGAAGTTTTCTCACCGCTGCCCGTTTTAATGGGAATGTATTAATCGCAGCCGCTGGCCCATCACACCTAATTAAATTTTTGTTATGCTTCACCGAGTTTCCCCCGCTCGGTTGACAGCTGTGCAACAGATGTTGTGCGACAGCTGGTGGTGTAATTAGGTTGAGCAACCGGACATTACCTTGTTGGTTTTCGATTTGTCAGCTCCGTGAAGCCCTTAGGTAACAGCTGGTGCTGTAATTAGTCACGGCTCTCGGCTTTTTTCATTAGATTACAGCTGTCCACGAACTATGTTCACATATCGTACGCCCGGTCATTCTTTGATCAAATTAAAAAATTTTGTTTCCACATGTCCTACGAACCGTCCCTTGCTATGTATGAAAGATTAATGGTTGTAACTATTCGCTTATAGCGAGGGTCAGCGAAAACAAAATATATATTTAAGGGTTGGAATTTTCTTTCAACCACCGTTAAATCAGGTTTTGAGACGAAACGAAGTCTCGGTAGGTTCGTGTTTTTTTTTTTT